AGGCTTGTTTTAGGATATAACGAACATGGCCTTGTTGGTGGACATTGAAACAATGCATATCGAAGATCAATGACAATCAAGCATCAGCCTAATTTTATAAACTCTCCTTTCTCAAGCATCTAATTTATCTCTGAAAAGTCGAGTTATATTGCAAGTACGAGTTATTTTGACGACAATGAAAATCAGGATTCAGTCGGTAAAACCATGTAAAAATTTCAACATTCTGTCATGTCGCTGATGCGAGTTAAACTGGGTTTTATTCACTACGTGACTCATTCCTCGAGAGTAGCACATCAGTTCAGTTTGGGCTCATAAATATCTAGCGGTATGCATTCACATATAACTCTAGCTCGAATCCAAAGGAATTTCAATGTTTCCAATGGTGGCGCATTCGTGAGGAGCGATTTCAAGTCAGTGGGAATTATCATTTCATGACGTAATTGTAAATCAATCACTAGCACAGTGAACTCGAATATAGGTGTCAAAATATGAATAGAAAGATTTTATGCACACAGTCAAATAATTCTGTAATCCATTTGCAGACTGAATGCAAAGTAGGGGATTTATGTTCGATTAATTATTCACATTTGGCAACACCTATAGTCACGAAGGACATGAACCGTATGGAAAAAATTGGTGGAAACGGCGAATTTCATTTTGTGTACATCATCGGAATGAACTTGAAATTTAATATCTCAGTGAAAAAGCTGGAAGAAATGGGCTTATGATACACTCCCAGTGTACAGTATTTATTGAGGAAATTCACTTCCAGCAGATTGGTGCGGTCGCACTGGGCTCTCCCCTTGTCTCACTGCTCGCAGACATTTTCATCGCGGAACTTGACTGTGGACCACTTATCAACCTGACTGTGCCACTTATTCTAGAGTACCAACGTGCGGAAGACACCCATCATCCGTGAGGCTGCCATCGATAGAAGTGGATAGATTGTCAACTTTAACGGTGTACACCTGTCACTGAAATTTACCAGTGCAACTGAGAGGCATGGTAATCTGACGTTCCTATAAGTGTTACTGTGGTGTGGATACAATGGGTCAATCGAAAGTGTTTTCCTCCTAGCGACTTGGGTAGGTCAGCACATCCGCTTTCTCAGCTTTGTGCCACTAAGATACAAGCGAAGTTTCGTCCTTTGCTTCTTCTATCTCGTTTGGGTCATCTTTAGCGCTAGAACTTAGAAACTTGAAATACAGCTCATTCCCAGTACTTGGAAGCAGAATGGTTATTCACCTTAGCCATTAAAAAGCACACCACACCCACTTAAGACATCGCCGATATCCGCAGAATACCAAATTAGGACAAGTTTCTTGCAGTTCGTTTTAAACAGGACACTGCCTATGAGCTACTGAGAAGGAAAATTTCCACGTTAACAGCTCAGACATTCCTGGCAGCAAACTATAAATTACTTGCCGAAATTTGATCGCTGTTTTCTCAGTGCCTAAAGATAGACTCTCTGCCGGGTTCGAATCATTCGTTACATGTCAATTTCCTAACAACTGGTAGAACCTAATTCAGATACATGACCAAGCTCTTGTCCAAACATCCCTAAACACGGCCCAACATCGTTAGGAAAAGGCACTGTAATGAACATAGATAGTTCTATTCATGGGAATGTGGTCTAGACGGGACACCAGATCCAGGTAACAGACCCCTTTAAAGTCATTTATACCATTCCGAAAAGCTAATCCAAAAGGCTCAAGAACGCTTCTTGACCGACACTGAACCCAATACAATCAGTGTTCTGAAACCAGAACTCTGTAAACAACGGACGCTGATGGAAGCCTTGATATTTACATAGTTGTGAACATGTTCCGGTAGGATTTTTTCACGGCAAGTTAAGTGTTTTTGACACCGTTGCTCTGTCTGCACTCACCTGCGTGTGTTCGTGTTTTATCCCGGCCATCTATTCCAACTGTCCAAGACAATGATCAGTGATATTCCATGCTAACCCAAGGGGTTGTGTAGGCTTTAAGATCCTTTCAATTAGGATCTAACTCTCAGTACCATTAGGTTTTCTGATTTTTCTCCATGATTGCAAATATCCGATGAGGTTTACGATAACAGTACCTTCAAGCCTATCCAGTACAAACGCCTCTAGTCAAAACCTTGTTTTAACAAGCTCGCAGAATCGGTAGCCCCGAATGCTTAGAGTACGAACTGCAATTCGTTGCACAGGCGCTGCGGTCAAATGGCTACCCTTCAGCCTTCATTACCTTCCACGGACACCAGAGGAAAGAGAACAGACAAAAACTCGATACAATACCAAAAGTGCCCGCCCGTTTCCAGTTGCCATTAAAAGCTGCCGTGGCAAAGAGAGTCCAGCCACGTGTAGCCACAGAGTGGATCGGTTTCTACGTAAACGGATGGCTGAGCATATTGCAGAACGGGTTAATGCCACTACTAGAGCTCAAACATGAGAACAAGCTTCAAGCTCCAAAATGCCAGTTTCATCGATTGCTAAGCACCTACTAAGTACGGGTCATCAAGTTGACCTGGACATGTCGTTTCCGATTATCTACCGCGATGGAAACACCAAACTATTCAAGTTCTCCGAGGCTGTGGGCATGATTTACAATCGTTCTGACCTCTGTGTATAAAATTATTTGACTGTCACACTGCAGCTGCCGTGTGGACCGTAATACTCGTTTATCACTTCTGATTCTGCTTTGGTAACCTGTGTCTTTCTGTGCCTCTTCCCACTTTCTGTCAGCAGTCAAACTATTGATTCTTTGCCTCAGTGATCGTTTAGTACGTTGCTCGTTTGTATGTGACTAGAGAGCACAAAGTGATATGATTTTGCAATACCCGTCTTTCCCTTGTATTGTTTGGAATAATAACTGAAACACTGTGCTTCGAAATCGGCATTGTTCGCAGAAACGTGAACTTATATATTATGGGAAGTACCGACGCACTGCAGTAATTTTGCTGTTATTTGGAGGGCGGAAATGCAGAAGCAAGGCCAGTAAAGAGACCTGCACCATTTCTAACATGGTAGTGCTCACTTGTTTCGTTCGGTTGAAACTAAGGCTTTTCCTTGTCGCCTAGTAATTGGAGGTTGCTTAAGGAGCGTGCGGCCAGTGTTGCAAAGAATTCACGCGGCCGCTTTATGTGATTACTGATTTGTGGACGACTGTGATTGCTCGAGTAGCATATGTTTGCAGAAGATACGAATCGCTAAGTGCTCCATAATAGAGACTCAACCGAAATCGATGTCGGCGGCAATGCCGCGCGATGGCCGCAATGCGCATTACCTTGCCGGGGAGCACGTGATCAGTCAGTCGCGTGTGAAGGTTACGCGCACAGGCGTGAAACTGCGTTCGCCTATTCTGCCAAATTTGGAACTCAGGCGTGAATTGATTAGTCAGTGGATTCAAGCCGGTGTCTGGGGTTTGAGAGGAGTCGAACGCTGAGGCGAACCATTCTGTCAAATATGGCAAACCGGTGGAACGGAACTTGCTCACATGGACTGAGGGCCAGGCGCGGAAGATCGGGTGACCACGCTTTCCAAAATTGGTATGTATGATTCATTAATAAATAGAGACGAGTTATTCTGTAGAATATACGCTGTCTACCGAGCCTTGGGTTTTTGGTTTTCTTCTGTTGGTTGGGCGCGTGTTTGAGCATTCAGACGGTCGCAGTCTCACAGGCGAAGCAGCGCAGCAGTACAACACTTTAGAGGTTGTCATCTGTATTATTTGTCCAGCCACTAGTTCACATCGCTTCCGTTCAGTCCGGTGCCATAAGAAGGATAAAGGTGATTTTGACAAAACCACCGCTACTTGGTTTGGGTCTAGCACACTTCGTGTTTGTAGGCACTGTGCTTTAGTTCTCGTGGTGTAAAGTGTGGAGCTGTCTGCGGGTGCTTGAACTATTGTCTTGGAGTATGCCGATAATATTTACTTACTCTATGACTGCTCACAAACGTGCCAATCAGAACTGGCCAAATTGTCATCGGTTATCAGTCATTTCAGACACTGCTTTGCACCCCTAAAAGGCAAAGCTTTCTTCCAACATTGGCAGGGGCCGCCTCGTGCAAAGACCCTTGGTGAGGATCAGCTAGAAGTCGTCCATATATTCCATTACCTAGGTAGCTGTATCAACACCAGAAGTGACAAACCGTGGATCTAAGGTGATGTTACACTTCTTGGCTACATATGGCGCTGACACAAAATCACTCTTACCCTGAAGTGTAGACTCTACAATCTACTTGTCCTTTCAGCCCTAGTATACGGTTGTGAAACATGGCCTCTTAGATCGCCGAACATAAAGAGATTAGCTGCGTTCGACCACCGGTGACTTGGGAGTTTAGCTCACCACTTTCAGGAACACAGCATGAGCACTGCGCTTGTTCGGCATCTTGTTTATAACTCGGGATGACGAAGTAAAACGCACACAGGAGTATTGCTCTCGCCAGACTCTGATGCCGAAGTCATTTATAACGCATGTCAACACACCAAGTTCCACAGTGAGTTGTTTGCGCAACCGGAGTCCGGGTGGAAGAGAGGGCGGGGAGAACAACCGATAAGTTAGCCAAGATGAGTGGGTGCTTATACTTCCAACTTTGATTTCCTTATAGCGTCCCGACTCTCGGGTTGCAGACACTTGTTGACATTGCGGAGAACCGACCTAGGAGGCGCTTATGTTGTGAGTCGCTTACCCCTCTTAGCAGCCTTTCTAACCACGATTCAACTGTTAATGCACAATACTAAAATGGCAAAATACTGGTTTTACGTTTGTGCTTTGTATACTTTATTATTTATTACTTCCCTTTTTGAATATCTTGCTGTGATGTACGGTGATAAACCGACTGAGATGTTTCTCACCGCTAGCCAACGTGTAGAATGATAATCAGGTACTAGCATTCATCTTCCGCCATCCGCCAAATTCATCAGTTTGCCGGACTGTTTTGTACAGTCGGTCACAGACTGTCGTCGTGCTATTTAACCAATACGAAAGGGAGCCTTCAGCTTTTTTCTTCGTTACAGGCTGCAGCCAGAGAACATTACAACTGTTCCACTTTGGATGGGGTCGATTTGGAGAACCAAGGAGCCGGGGCTACCATGGCCGCCCACTTTGAGAAACGGGTAGCTAAAGTAAGTTTCAACACTGGCGCAATAGCACGTTGCATGAGGAAGCGTCCCTAACGTTTGGTTCCTGTCTCCTGTTTTGTCCGGACGATATGCACTCTGCTGTCGTCCTCTCATTGAAATCCGATTTCACCTACTAAACGAATGCGGCAATCACGCTTAACACGCAATGCTGATTATCGGGCAAATCCGAAGACTTTTGGTTTGCCAATGCCTGTGCGAATGTGCGGGTGGGTGCGTAGACCTCAGCTGTGCAAGTAGACTTTTTCTCAAGTGTCATCCGCTCCAGTCTCTCGCATCATCTACCATTGCCCACAAACCGTCCATGCTGGACATTGTGTTTACGAATGAAACGCTTATAAACGAGAATCTACTGATGGTTGCATAAAATCTCATCCAGACACATGCATGACGCGCATGCTCCTGGGTCATTTGGATTATTCCTTCCTATCCACGCTCCATATTCTCGCAGCCTAGTCATCGTATGCTCAATCGAATCGGATTTACCATCCCTACGCTGTGATCCGTCCTAGGTGGCATTATCTTCTACGATTTAAGTCCGTACCACCAATAACCGTTTCAACTGTCGTCCGTGATTAAGCGCAAGCGGATAACTCACTCGTAGTGAGCCACTTGCCTTTCTGTGTGACACAATTCGATACAGAATTTTCGAGACACTCCGAAAAGCTTAAGCTTATTTCAATCCGACGTTTTTCATCGCTACTATGAAAGTATTTGTGATCTTTCAATCTGTGTTCAGTTCTGTTTTCAGAGTTAATTAGCAGGTTCTAGTCACTCGCCATTCCTTGTGACCATGTCAGCTAGTGCGGCTGCATAATCTATCACACGGACCGCTCCGTTAACCTTGTAACGAACATCTTTGCGTGACCGATGTGCGCCGCTCTCAAAGATGGAAAAGTACAGAACACCAATCAACCCACGGGGTCAGGTAACTACACCAAGTTGAATAGCAGAAATGCGAATCCGAAAAGGCTCCAAGCGAAAGGCATTTGCGTGTTAAGAGAATGTTAGTGATTAGGTCAAATAGGTTTGGCTTGCTCGCATTGTTTGGAATGTTAGCATCCGAAGTATGCAAACGTGTCCTAACAACAAGTACGAGAGCGAAATATGCCACCAAATGCGCATTGGTTCTATATGGCGTGCTTAGCCATCCCACTCGTTAAGTGTTTGCTTATCCTAGTCCAGATGTGCGATCGGTTGGCCGCAGAAGCCGAGCAGTGGATGGACGATAAGATTACTTTCGTGGAAGCTATTATGCACCAGCGTAGCGTAGTGGCCTCTAAGCAACACATTGCTGCACAATCTGCTTCCATTGAATCGAACTCAGCCACATATCCATCTCCGTTGTCTTCTCCAAATTGGGTAGTAAGCCGGGGGAAACTGACTGTAGATACGAGAGTCAAACAGTATTCATGGCAACGAAAATCAGGCGCTACTCGAAACGTCTGGTTACGCAAACTTCACTAGATATGACATCTAGCATTAACAAGGATGAAGCAGTTAAACAACAACGCTCGAGACAATGCTTCCGGGAAATCAGTTACGTATGCAGAGACTGCTGCAAAGGTCAGCCGGAAGGCCGCCGTTTCGGTCTCTTCTGTTGTAAACACTATTAACGCAAATAAAGAGACAAACGGTAAACAATAATAATTTGTCAGCAGGTCAGGACAAACGAATACCCCACCTTGTAGGTCAACTAAAAAGGGATCCAAGAAAAGTACAACGACTGTTGTGTGCTCAAATGTACCCCAAAACTACCGTCATCACATTAGGTGGTAAGTTATCCAACGACCACATTCAATGCAAGTTATTGTGCGTGCTGATAAGTGTTAAAGCCAAACCCATAAACGTAGTACGGATTACTCATCATCCGAACTTTACACGCTATGGAGAACACAGACTTATTCCAGTAGTACTAGAATCCTCCACCGATGTAGAAAACATTTTACGCTCTGCATTTGTAGTAAGACACGGATTCCGTGGGATAAGCGTGTATCATTATGCCCCTTAGAGCGCCCGACCATCAAAATAAACACCGAGGAGGGACACGGCAGACAAGACCGCCTAAACACAATCTTCATACGTGGTGTGCCATAGCATCCCTCTAAAAATGCTCAAGAGGTCGCAAAACACGATTTAGAACTGTGGCGGTTGAGTCGTGAAACAGCTCCTTTGGATAATATTGTGGGCTATCGCTCACGAGGATATCCCTCGAACCAAATTATAGAGGATACCGCCCTGAAATTTTATAATTTGTGGTTCATTCAGAGCAAAAGGCAATAGATGTTTTGGATCGATGGCATAGAAATCGGACAATTCTTCCATTTGCACTTCGATCAACACCCGCAGAAGCGTTGATACATGCAAATATAATGCACCCGAAGACGCTAACGTACCGACGATGACAGCGGTGCTCCACTTGACTGCTGCTTCACTCGGCTCTGACGTAGGTCAAAACGAAGATTGGGACGCACCTCGGCCGAATCAAGTTTCAGACAAGGTATAATTATCTCATCAGAAAATTGAGTAACTGCCGGCATCCTATCGGTCGGAATTCTCCTCCACGTGACCCCTATAACCCTCTGAGAATTCCTAGAGACCTAGAAACTGGCCTACTGTTATAAGAATGCTCAGGGTCTTTATAATAAACTGGCCAAACTGAATGCTCGCCAAGTTTCCTGGTCATATGATGTCGTCTGTGTCACTAAGACGTAGTCGCACATGGGTATTAATGACGCTGAAGTTTCGCTACCTGGCGAATCGCTCATCGGGAACAATAGACTCAAAAAAGAGGAAGGGTAATACTGGATTGCCGAAGCGACTTACGATGCGAAACCGTGGATGATTCAGACCCGCAATTCTCCAACTCTATTTGAAGCCGACTGCAGTTAAAAGGCAGAGACATTCGCCTTATCGTCCTGGTGTACCGCCCCCTAACTCTACACCACAAACCGACTGCCACATTCCGGATGCTTTAAGATGCAGTCTACAGTAAAATTACACACACAACCTTAACACAGTTGATTTCAACGTACTTTGTTTAGAAAGCCTTGATCATGCCTGAGTTGGTGTGTCTCTATGAAACTGAGAATAAACTATTTATTTATTTATAAAGCTGATCTACAAGAGTTCGGAACCACTGTTCCGCTTCACAATCATATCACTTTGCCCACTCGGTTAAGTACAGGCAACAGGCAAATCTATGCTGAATCTTACGCTTACCAACGAAGAGCATATGATTGTTGTGTTAGCAGTAAACTGTCAGTTGTTTCACAGTGATCACGTAGTCAACCGTTTCAACTTCGTCTGCTATACGGAATAAAAAATGTGAACGAGAAGACTGTGCGAACCATCACAATCTACGATCGATTGGCACAGCACGTCAGCGCTACAACCTAAACGTTCCTTGCCGAAGAACACCCGGAAGTTGCCCGGCTCCAGTTCGTCAACAAATTCATTCGGCTGATTGCAGGTGCTTCAGAGGTAAGTGTTTGCAATAAGTGTAAACCAGTTCCTTTCGTTGGGAGCAGAACTGGAAACTGGATGCCAGTATGCAACACAGCATGACGAGTATAGAGAGAATCTCCAACACCAGTAACTTGGGACAACTACGTAGCCCAACGTAACTACTGCACACAACTGCTCAGAGAAAACAGAGCCGCATATCAGCCAAACATCGCAAAAACTTTCACAAACTTCTGTACAAGCATGTCAATAGCCCATGAAAAGTGAGGCTAGGATTTCTTCCACTAAGAAAGGCCGATGGTCAAGCAAGAACGGTTATGGAAACAGCAACCGCGCTGCCGTTGCAATATGCTCTCAGACTTCAGATGGTCTTGCCACCAATCGACCTTCTGGCATTTGTCGTCTCTCTGCCAGGATTAACCCACAGCAGTTTTACCGCGGAGGCTGTATTGCTAAAGCTGGTGTATCTACGCAAACACAACTCGCCGGATGTCGGTAATATTCGTCCAGAGGCACTGGGAACGGCAGCAAGCAAAGCGACAGGACCTTAAGGTAAGTTTTTCCAGCGCTGCTTAGACCGGAACTAAGTTCCTTCTAATTGAAGGCTGGAATAATAACCCAGCTTCACAAAGGTAGAAGCAGAACTGAGCCATCCAACTACCGCCCAGTAGCCGCTCTTCCTGTACTCGCCAAGGTCATGGGATCCATTGTTGCCGATGTACTGTTGTGTTATCTGGAAAACTGCAGCATCATTACGCACGAACAGCACGGATTCAGTCGACAGCGGTCATGCACAACAAATTTACTAACCGCACGCAGTAGTTTGACCGAGTCAGCTGAGGTTGGAGAAGGCGCTGGTGCTACCTACCTGGATTTTTCGAAAGCTTCCGATCGTCCAGATCATCGGATAGTGCTGTCCAAACTCCAACACTATAGGATCAATGACCTTCTTCTTAGCTGGATCGCCAACTTCCTAATTCAACGGCGGTTATTTATCAGAGTTCGGAGCTCTTTATCCGACCTTATACAATTCGAGTGTGGTGTGCCGTAAAGCTCAGCGTTAAGTCCACGTTTGCTTTTGGTGTTTATTAATGACTTCGTACAGGAAATCGTTTCAAACTGTCCAACGTTTGCTGACGACTTCAAAATTTGGCGCGAGATCAAGGTGAACGTTGAACAGTATCTGCTTCATAGTGGCCTAGACACGGTATACCAATGGTGAACCAGCAATTTATTGCATTTCAAAATGAGTCAGCTCAAGATACTTTCCATCCGACCTCAGAGCAGCTACTAATACGGGCTTAGAAAGAATGCACGGCAACAATCAACTGTTGCCCGTGACTTGGATATGCTGGTTCAAGATGATTTGGGTTACTCCAGGCAACCTGAAAGGCATCGAAAACTTGAAGCCGATACCTCGGGCGGTTGCGATGGGCGTTGTGACTAATAAACAGCTCCATATTTCGACAAATACTCAATGCGTATGTTGGCCCAATGTCGAATTCGCAATACAAACCTGG